AGAAAAACACAGATATTTTATTTTAACAGAGAAATGCGGATTTTGAGCTTCTGCAAAGAGCTCTCTGCAGGCTGGCAGAGTTCAGCCTGTGAGGAGCGGGAGGAGGGTAGTCAGGTAGGAGGCACCATGTGCACAGATATGCACATGGCCACCAGGCAGCCTGGAGAGCAGCTCCCGCAGCTAAGTATGATGTGGAGTAGGCAGGGGGAATTGAGGCCCCCATAGGAAGGAAGGGAGGGAGTTGGGCAGAGCTGGGGCAGGGGCTGCTGACCAGCTGGGACTGTACATGGGGCTTGAGGCCCAGGGCTCAAATACGTGCCACAGTGGCCCAGTGGGGAGTAAGATGGAGCCGTGGGCAGCTCATCTGGGTGTCAGGGGGGTTGGGGCTAGCTCCCTGCCACTGTGCATACTCCCAGGGGGGACATGTGCCCCCCGGATCTTTGCACGGGACGGGGATGGAGGTGGACTGCTCACTGCAGCGTTGGGCTCCCCACCCTGCTGCTCTCCGCTGGGGCTTCTGCGGCCCAGCGGCTGGGACCTGGCATGGCAGAGCAGACCAGGGCAGTTCCAAGCTTGGTGCCGCTGCTGTGAGCCCTATGCTGCCCTGCCAAAGCACTGCCAGGCAGCAGCGCAGATGGAGGGCACATCACCAGGGTGGTGCAGGACTCACAGTGACAAGGAGCTTCCTTGCCTGGCCTCACCCTATCCTGCTGTGCTGGGTCCTAGCCACTGGGCCATGGAGGCCCCAGGGGAGGGTGGAGAGCCTAAGCTCTCAGTGGGCAGCCCACACCTGCCCCTGCACATACATCTTGGGGGCATTGGTACCCCTGCTGGGGGCCTGTGGGTGGGAAGTGAGGGGCCTGGACCTGCATTCTGGTGAGCTAAGGGCAGGGATAGCTCTGATTTTCCATGATAAAAAACCCAAAATCAAATATCAAAATTCATAAGTGTTTAGAATTTATTTTATTATAGTGATTAGGGCACATGGTAGGCTTCAAATTGCTTTAAAATTGTAAATATATCAATTAAACATTGTGTTCAGTTGATACCTGTATATATAGTGGCATTTCATTTTAATCGCAAATTTTGGGGGTTTTATCAGAGATTTTGCAGGTTTTTATCAGAGAATTTGTGATTTTTTTTATCAGAGGAAACCTGGATCCCTGCTAATGAGCATGCAGAACAGTTGTGTGGATGCTTGTGCATCCACACTGCACATGGAATAGGATTACAAACTACCTAAGTGCCGAGCCAGCAGTTATGTGGCTGGGTAAGTGCCATTTGGGTGTGCAAGGTGAAATAGGGCTCTGCCCAAAGTGGCTTTTCTTCTGTGATAGGACAGGCACGAGTTTATGCAGGTCACATTCCTTTTCTCTTGGAATCTAAGTTTTCATGTATTTACTTTGATTTCTCTACTAACCAGAGTGGTATATAAGATTAGAGAGGATGCAGCTATGATAAACTGCTCCGGTTCAGAGATTATCTCCAACTTTTGGCTCAGCCACCAACATTACTTCCAGATATAAGAGAGAGAATATCTTAGAAAAGTATGCAAATACTCCATCCAGACCTGAAATTGCTATCTGATGATATGGACGTTGGCTAGCTATAATCTACTGGTAGAGATTATTCCACACAGGTAGAGAAGTAAGTGTTCTACAAAGGAAGCTTGCAACCCAAAATGGAAAATATTCTCTGTGGGAGAGAGAACCCCCTTTGGAATCCAATTTCAACCCTTTGGAAGGTCCTATCCTCCAAATTCTGCTATATCCTACAGTAAAGACTTTATGGATTCTTCATTTTCTTGTTATGCCCACCTTCTTGCTTAGTCTCATTCAGTATTTTTCTACCATACTTTTTTATGGATTCCTAAAACAAGAAATTTACTCATACAACCCACAGTCAGGAAGCCCCCTCTGAAGGAGTCTGCCTTCCTGATGGCTATTGCCTTAGCCAAAAGTGTCAAGGAATGGACTCTAATTCTTCATTGTGGCTTCTAGTGGTTGCTGTAAGACAAATTAAATAATTATGATTAGAAGAAATATGGTCACCTTTGGCTTTTTATTGAATATCTTTAAATAAAACAATCCTCTGATTTGAACAGAACACCCTGATTTTTTTTAATTCATAAAAAATATTGTTGCCTAAATATTTCTGGTCCCTTGTTTATTGAAAATCTTCTATAGGGTGGGCCTGAGTTACGCTAACATTTCTGGCACCTTAGGGGTTATCTCCACCAGAGCAGCCATGTCCCGCAGTCTATCCCACCCACCCAAGCCTGCAGGCACACTCCAGTGCTAAAAGTGTACTGGTGAGGCCACTCTAGGCTCATCCTTTAGAGGTAACTATCAAATACTCTGGAGAGCAAAAACTCAAGAGCAGCCTCAGCCTCAAGCACTTGGGGGTTACCTGTTAAAAGAAAATGTAGTATATATTAATACAGAAATATGATGGTCAGATGATGTCTTTTTGAGTTCCCTCCAGTGACTTATGTCAGAATTCTCATTTTATTGCAGCAGGTGGTGGGATTCTTAGTGAGAATGAGGAGAATCCCCACCAGGATGACCCCAAGTCAATGGAAGCATATGACACAGTGTCAGACGCATCCCAAGATGATATTTACCAGAGCCCTGAGAAGAGCCAAAGCTGTGGTCACAGGCGCCGGTCAGAAAGGCTTCAGAGATCTCCTCCAGGACAGAGTCAAGGCAAAGGAATCGCATGTGAAAGACAGTTTAGGAAACTTCCAGACATGGTGCAACAGAGAAGTTTTACAGCAGGAGGGCCGACAATATGCAACGACTGCGGGAAAAGCTTCAGGGTGAGCTCCAACCTTGTACAGCACCAGAGAATCCACACAGGGGAAAAGCCTTTTGGGTGTGCTGTGTGCGGAGGGAGCTTCCGGCAGCGCTCGCACCTCATCCAGCACCAGAGAATCCACACGGGGGAGAGACCATTTGCATGCACTGACTGTGGGAAGAAGTTCAGCATGAGCTCCAAGCTCATTCAGCACCAGATCATCCACACAGGTGAGAAGCCCTATAAATGCAGTGACTGTGGGAAGAGCTTCACAGGGAACTCGCAGCTAATCCAGCACCAGAGGATCCACACAGGAGAGAAACCCTACAAATGTCACAACTGTGGGAAGAGCTTCAGTGTGAGCTCAGCCCTCATTCGACATCAGCGGATCCACACAGGAGAGAAACCGTATGAGTGCTCAGACTGTGGGAAGAGCTTCAGTCAGAGCTCAGAGCTCATGAAGCACCAGAGAGTGCACACGGGCGAGAAGCCCTATGAGTGCGCCCAGTGTGGGAAGAGCTTCACCGTGAGCTCCGCCCTCATCCAGCATCGACGCTTCCACAGGGGGGAGAGACCCTATGGATGTGCTGAATGTGGGAAGAGCTTCACTGTGAGTTCCCACCTCATCCAGCATCGGCGCTTCCACACTGTTGAGAGGCCCTATGAGTGCGTGGCCTGCGGAAAGAACTTCCTCTGGCGCTCAGCCCTTCTCCGGCACCAGAGGGTCCACACAGGGGAGAGACCCTATGCATGCACTGAATGTGGGGAGAGCTTCCGGCAAAGTGCACACCTCATACAGCACCGCAGAGTCCACACGGGGGAGAGACCCTATGCATGTGCTGACTGTGGGAAAGGGTTCACTGTGAGCTCTGCTCTCATTCGGCACCAGAGAATTCATCAGGGAGGGAAATCCTGAACACAGGGAACCCTGCCAGTCTGATATCCTCCCATAGAATTTGCCCAGGGCTACAAGACAGGGGTGTTTCTCCCACTAGATCTACTCTATTCATGGAGAATGAAAAGTGTCTTGTTGAGAACAGAGCATAGAGGGTTGAGTCAGATGCAGAGAAATGGTCATTTGAGCTATCTGGGGTGTGCAAAGAAATGTGATGGAAGCCTGACAAGAATCAGGAGTTCTTGGGGGAATGGATAAATTGGAGATTGAGGAAGAACAGATACTGTGAAAAGAGGGGAGACATTTTGAGACAGTATTAATAAAAACACTTAAGAGGAAATTTGAAATTGTTCTATTCCTCTGTCCACACTGTGGATTTCAGACAGTATATAATAGGAGTTAATGGGAACATCTTTTAAGTAAAGTAGTTTCATTCTCAGACTGCTCCCTTCAACTCAGTGGCTTGGTACCCTTATCTGTAAAGTTCGGCAATAGTAATAATGGGAACCATCTTTACAGAAGGATGGGAGTATTCAATTCATATGTCAAGGTAGTGCACAGAAACCTCAAGAAGAATTTTGTACATTGTGTTCTACACAAATCTGTTTATGCAGCCCTTGCTCAGAATTTAGCTTTTCCTCTTGTTGTTATTAACTAGGATTTTTCTTGACGTTATAGGTTTTGTGGGTTTTTCTCTTTTTTCCACAGGGTGCACTTGTGTTTCTTTTTTATTTTTCAATCAGAGTTTTATTCCCTTCCATAAAACACTACCTTTATTATTTTTCAAAATTCTTGATCAAAGCATGCTTAAGACATCCAGTCTCCTCCATGTATCTGAGAGATTCCTTATTGTCAAACAGTATGTCATTAGATTCCCCTAGTGATTAGCAATACACAGCAAAAATCACCCCACCTTTCTCCTCCATATCCACCCCATTCACCAAAGCTTATGAACATCAGAAGTGAGGAGTACATGTGAGCTCAAGAGCTGCAGAGGGCAAGCAGCCATGCACTGAAGCATCCTCATGCCCCTGCCAGCTGTATCAACATGTGCTACTGCATACAAAAGACACCACTGCAGGACAACACTTGTATTTACAAGTACTAACCTGTGGTGGGAGTTAGTTTCCTGTAGCCTCATAGGGTCATGTCTGTAGCTCTTGAGACTTTATTGTGGAGCTAATTAGGCAGCTCTGCAGTAAACATCTCAAGAAGATGCACCCACTGTGTCACTTCCTTCAACCATTACTGGCCTGGAAGCTGATTACAGTGGGCCAGTTGCTCCAAACCTTTCTTGTGTACTGAGCTGAACTGCATATATTTGTGATAATGGGACCTGAAGTTGTATACCTTCTCTGGTGACTCCCATCCCCAGTAGTCTCCAGACACCTAACAGTTACTCTTCTCAGCACTCTCTGAGGTAGGAAAGAGTTATTCCCTATTAACATATGACAAAATTGAGCCAGAAAGACAAAATGACCATACATGTCAATATAAGTGCTGGGACAGAACTCAGGAATCCTCTCGCTTGAAGGATTTTGGATTCTAAGGCCTACATACACTCGTTCTGCATTTGACAAAGGATTGAAGAATCTGTTGATGCAGCACAAGATGGGATACCTCGCCATTACTTTGAGCATTTTGGGTAATGGCGAGGTATCCCATTTGGAAAGTACAAAAATGCTGTTTATTTTGGGGAAAGAGGGAGGAAGAAGCCAAATAAATAAACATAGATGTTTCTGTGGCTGGACCTGACAAAAAGCTGGTGCATTTAATAAATGCATTGTAAGTGCCTAGGACTAGGTTGAATTAAGGTGATAAATGCTGTGGGTTTGCCAACTACAGATAAGCTAACCTAATTTTTCCTTCTGCAAGCTTAGGGAATAAAAGAAACTTTCACCCGTGCATCTCTTGCCACTCCCAGAGCCTGTCTGGTTTTTTTTGCTTTGGTGTGCCCTTTTAAACTGCACACATGCGCAGTGGGTCTGCCATTGGGGTTATGCTATTCCCAGGTTAGGGAGGACCCTACCCAGGATTTAGGGGACCCTGCCCCACCGGAGAGGGGCTGGTAAGTACCCTCTCCCCTTCACTACATTTTCCCTGGGGGGCTGGGCTAAGTTGGGGCCAGGGTGGGGCGAGACCCTCCTCAGCCCACTCAGCTGCCTCCTCCCGCTACCTGGGGTTAACCCCCTCCCACCACAGGCCCCACTTACCTCCGGCTGTGCTGGGGGTCAGTGGGGTGCTCCACGGCTGCTGGGGGGCTTCGGGGGAGCAGGGGCGGAGTGGGCTCTCACCTGCATGTCTCTCACCGCTCCTGGAGCCTGTCTCTGGTTACTCAGAGAGGTTGGACGTTTTTAAGACCCAGCTAGACAAAGCCTTGGCTGGGATCTACTTGGGGACGGTTCTACTTTACTCAGGGGGTTGGACTAGATGACCTCCCAAGGTCCCTTCCAACCCTAATTTTCTATGATTCTATGATATCTCAGGTCCTGGATGCATGAATGAATATACAGTAGAACTCAGATTTAACATACCATCCCCAAACCAGAAAACAGCACATTATACCTAAGGTACATTGGAGCAAGATTAATATTAAGATGCTGCCTCAGGGCCTGGAGTGGGGATGGACTCAGGAGGGGGACAAAAGCTGGGCTCAGGGATCAGGCACTGTTACAGATTCCTGGGCCTGTACTGCTAGTCTTGTGGACTCCCAGGAGCTTGGTCTAGTCCAAACTGTTAGGAGTATGGCCAGGTACATTTATATCTGTAGGATAAGTGGAAGGCACCAGCTTCTGTATGTATAGCAAATCCACTATAGTGCTTCAGCAGGGTAGCAGGGAACAGTGGCTAGCAGCTTCTCCGCGCAGCTCTGCTGTTACCTGCCACCCTGCTTCCCTCCCCTGGGGCCTCTGGAGCCTGGCGGGAACAACCTGGTGAGGCAGGCAGCAGCGGAGCCGCGCAGGGAACTCCTCACCACTGTTTTCCCCCTGCCCCCCACCCCACTCCAGTGACGCACCTCCTGCATGCAGGGCTGCAGTGAGGGCAGTGGCATGGGGCTGCACCCCTCAAAGCACTGGAGGTACATCACCAGGGCAGCAGTAGGGGAGGCAGGAGTGGTGGCGAGGAGATCCCCATGCAGACCCACTGTTCCCAGCCACGCCAGGTCGTGTATGTGGCAGGAAGCCACCTTTGTTTCTCCCCAAAATCTCTGCCCTGTGACAATTTGATTAGGATGGGCCCAGCAGAGGAGACACACCTTTACCCTATCTCTTTAGGTAACCTGAGCTGAATGCATTCCTGAGGGAGCGGGGAAACCTGCTCCCTCTGCCTACGTGACTGGTATCAGCTACCTGGATGAGGGGCATCTACCTGGTGGGCTAGAGTCTGCCCAGCAACTAGTGATGTATTTCAAATTGGTTGCTGACAACCAACCAGAGCTGGCCTCCACTGGGCCAGGTGAACAAGGTCATGGGCTGAACAAATTAAGACTGCCCAGGAGGAGGGGGCAGCAGCCATGCGGG